GACTTCATTTTTCATTAACCTTGAATGTGTATGTTCTTTCTTTTCCATTTCAAGCAAAAAAAAATCTACTGTGGGCAGTAGGTTTATGGAAAGTGGGTAGCTATTATGAATATACAATGTCAATTACATCTCAATAAAGCTGGAAAAAAATAAGTTAAAAGTATTTTTAAAAACATCCCCAATACATGTATTTTCAGGACATGGTTTAAATACTTGGAATAACATTTTCAGGTATTCCTTCTGGTGCCATAATGTTATGATCCTACAATACGATGTTTTAAAATCAAGTCCAAAAACTTTATAGATCCCTTCTACAGAGCACCTAAAAATTATACTAAGCACTATGCACTGAGTGCTTAACTTGTCCCATGTGGTTTCTTAAGATATATGCGTTAACACACAGACATTTCCCCTTTAGGTTATCCTCCCAAAAAACTCAAAAGAGAGATACTGACTTTCCTGTTTCAAAGATGTAGAAACTGGGATTTGCATAGGGGAAATAACTCCTCTAGAATCATAAGCCTGAAGTGACAGATTCCAATTCTCCATCCCTGGTGAGAACAGGCTCATGGCTCCAAGGTCCTTCAAGTCTTAAATTTTTGTATAATTGACTCAGAAAGATCTGGCTCATTCAGAGTCTAAGTGAAACATGAAGGTTCATTCTTCAGTTTCCCATCAAATTCCAAATGTCTCTAAGTTTAAATGGCAACCTCCATGCCTGGAATGGAAACCCACATCACAACAAATTAGCTAAGTGGTTCCTACACAGTCCTTATTTATAGTCTCAGCAATTCAATTTCTGAATAACAGCTTGGTTGTGATGCATAAAAGACAGTCTTGGGAAGATGATGATGATTGTTTTTTAATAAACTAGATACAAAATTAGCATGTAAATTTATTACAGACAACAGACCCATGAATATTTATTAATAGAATGGAATGACACTTCTCACTGAATCCTAGAATAGTCTATCCTAACAAATGCTCATTAATGAATTAGTCAAAGAAAATGGCATTTGCTAAACTATCACTATGGAGTACTGTTCCATTTGAAATAAGAAAAACATTGCTTCCCTCTTTCCTTCCTCAAAGAATACACAACTATGATGTGCCCCAGACTCAGAGACTTCTCTCTGTTATGCCCACTTGAGAGGTGATCTCACCAAGTCTTCCAGCCTTAGGCTCCATCTCTGTGTTAATTACTCCCAACCTGATGTAGGCAGCCTGGACCTCTTTTCTGAACATCAGAACTGAAGGAAAACAGAATATAGCACCCCAAAATATTCCTCTTTGGCACAAAGATTATGTTGAATCAATTATTTTGAGAATTGCAGACACAAGAGAAGCTCTGAAAACAAAGTAGAAGTTATCCTTCTGCAAATTTACATTTATAAGGAATAATTATATTTATAAAGAATATAACATATTCTTTATATATATTTATTAATATTATATATTTTATAAATTTTCATTTGTAAAGACTATCTCCATTTGGAAGGGTCTCTCTCTCCAACCAGGAAGAAAGGGATGAGTAAATCACAGGAGGATCTTACCAATAAGAAGGCACCAACTGAAATCTGCATAACAGCCATGCTTTTGTTTACTGTGCTTTCCTGACAATCTTCCATAACTCACTCTTCCCCTCTATCCAACCCCTGTCTTTTGTGGTTAGGTGATGGTATTTAAGGTGGTGGCTGGGCCATTTCCAGGAGTTACTCAGTTTTCCTGGGTATCTCTCGTGTATACAAGAGGCATACACCCTATTAAACTTCTGTTTGTTTGTGTTTCTTTCTATTAATCTGTCTTTTGTTATGGGATTGGTCTCATCCAAGAACATAGAAAAGTAAAGGAAAAATTATTTGCCCCCATACCTCCTAACTGGTCTACCCTTTTCTGCCCTCATCTTCATTATGATCTATTATCAAAACAGCAGCCAGCGTAATCCTGTTGAAAGATTAATCATACCAGATCATTCCTCTGTACCAATCCCACCCCCACCCCCAACCTCCTCATGGCTTCCCATCTTTGATAGTGTGATTTCAAATAAGAAATATATATTTTGGTCTTCATCCAAGGTTCAGCCTCAAAGCTTGTAAGACCCTTGGAATTTCCTAAATGATAATAGCAATAGGATCATCTTTTGTTATATTCAGTCTTTAATCCTCAGTTCCTGAAATAGCCTCAAGTGGAAAAAGGTGAACTGTGTGTCTTTGGTAATTCACAACAAACTCCTGTGAACCAGGCCTTAGTTGACGTTCCTGAGGGGACTTTTGAAAAGCCCCTAAGGATGGAGGTTGGTTGCAAGGAAAACCAACCACTATTAGAGGGTGGGACCTGTCAGGCCCAGGCCCAGACCCAGCTCTGGAGGGGCTGGAGGAAGACCCACTCACCAAAAGCCAATGATCTTATCAATTGGGCCTCGGTAATGAAGCCTCCATAAAAATCTCTGAACTACAACGTTCAGCAAGCTTCTGGGTTGATGAACAAGAACACAGTCAGGTGCCAGGAGTGTGGCGCACTCCAACCTCCATGGGGAGAGAAGCTTCTGTGCTCCGGACCCTTCAAGACCTCACCCCATGTGTCTCTTTATCTGGCCATGTACATGTTTGTATCCTTTACTACCCTGAGTTCTATGAGTGGCTCTAGAAAATCAATTGAATCCACAGAGGGAGGTATAGGAACCTCTGACTTAAGGCTGAATGGTCAGAACCACAGGTAACAACCAGATTTGTGACTGGCATCGGAGTGGCATGAGGGAGAGCAGGCTCTGTGGGGCTGAGCCCTTAACCTGAGGAATATGACACTGTCTCCAGGTAGCAGAGTGTCAAAACTGAGTCAAGCTGTAGGACACCCAGTCAGTGCTGAGATTTGGAGAATTGCTTGGAGGTGTTGGAAAAGCACATCCGATACCTTATTGAAAGCCAAGTCTAAAGTCCTTCTGATGATCCAGGTCCCATACCACCATCTGGTGCTGTCCCCTTATCTGATCTCTTCTCCACTGGCTCCCCTCTCTTGCAGGCACACAGGGCTCCCAGCTGGGCCTGAGCCACCCAGGCCCACCCCTTCCTGCTTCCTGTGCTTTGCCTGGAACACTCTGTCCCCTGAGAGATCAGAATGGTCCCCCCCTCAAGCCTGTGGGTCTTCGCCCCAGTGTCATCTCTGAGAAGCTTCTTTTGACCACAGTGTTGATGAGGGAGCATGGGGCAAGCTGGGGGCAAAGTACAGGCTAACAGCACCCTCCCCTGGAGGTGGGACATGTATGATATTCCCTGGACACTCCAGGCCACCACCAAACAGGAAAGGACCAAAAAAAAAAAAAACAAAAAACAAAAGGGTAAATTGATAAGAGTCTCCACCAGTTTAGCAGAAAAAGGCAATCAAGGTGATCCCACCAACAGCCTAAAGTCCAGGAACTCCTGAAGGTCTTAATGTTAATACTTTGCTAGTGGGAAACCCCACCTCAGCTTGACAATAGCTAGGCCTCTAGTAAGTCTTTAGCATGTGAAAGTCTCTTTGGAAACTCCCTCTAGATTTTTATCTCCCCTGACTCCCAAAATGGTCACCCCCACCTCCCACACCTGCAGTGCAGCTCTTTCTGCCCATGGGGGTCCTGTTCCTGTGCTTTAGTTTAATAAAATCACTTTTTTGCACCAAAGACGTCTTCAAAAATTCTTTCTTGGTCTTTGGCTCCAGACCCCACAAACCAACCCCCCATCACCCCAAAACGTAATCAATGTCTAAAATCACAATCCACTTCCCCACTGTACACACTAGTTCCTCGTCCGCCCCCCCCCCCCCAGTCCTTCCTTAGCACCTAAGGCTACCATATTTACTATACAGTTTGCTAGCTCATCATCTGTTTTCTGACTAGAAAGCCGGGGCTTCTCAGACAGTCGAGGCTGCTGCTTGCCCAGTGCCAAACTCTGCCCTAAATTCAGGATTGCAATCAGCACCCCAGCCTCTTCTCCTCCCACCAGAGCACCAACTCTGTCCCCCTGGCACTGTGGGGGAAGAGGAATTTACATGGGCGTCAGTGGTTCCATTGTTCAGGCATTCACTGGGCACCTGGCATGTCATTCTGTCCACTGAGCACAGCCGGTGTGGTGTGTTTCCTTGGAGAGCCACACACCACTCAATGCCAAGGCAGGAAGTCATTCCTATCAGTAAACAAGCAGAACAGGTTAGACACTGTGCCCATGGCGCTTATTATGTGCCACCGCCAATATGTGGCTTTCACAACCACCACACACCCCCGTCCTGTGTTTGCCCTGATTTCGACAAATGCACCTCCTTCAGCAGCACCGGCTCACTGGGTCAGTCGCCACCATGGGGCTAGTACAGTGCTGGTCCTTTCTTCTCACTCCGGAGCCTCGGTGTGTGTGACTTGCCTCTACGCCAGCCCATCTGGCACCGCGAGACCCTTGACTTAGGGAATTTTAAGTGCTTGCACAGAGCTAACCTGGTGCCGGCCACTTAGTGATTTCAAAAAGGCTTTCAGAAAGAAAAACACATTTCCCCAGACACCTCAGCTCTACGTTATCCAAAGAAAAATGTGGGCAGAGGGGGAGCAAAGGATTATGGGAGGGAGGAGACGTAAAGAAAGCGTCAAGAAAGAACTATAATACTGGCAAACACCTACAGGGTACTAAGTATAGAGATGTAGATGTATAGCATTCTTCTGAAGACGCTACCCACATGCACTCATTTTATGTGAAGTGGGCACTGCCCATCACCATCATGGCTGCTTCCCCAGGTGGTAACTGAATCAGAGTTTTTAAGTAACTTGCCCAGTTCACGGGCCCTGTAGTGGGGGCGGCAGGATTTGAACTCGGGCACTCTTGCTCCATGAAGCCGTGCTCTCCGTTTACGTGAATACAGTAAGAAGTCAAAACAGGGGAGCGCCGGCGGGCAGGCGCGGGAAAGGGACGCAGGGAGCGGCGGGCAGCGGACCGGACCTGGCGGATGGGGGTGGGGGTGGCGCTGCGGCCCGCGCGGGTCACCTGGGGCTGAACCGGAATTGTTCAATAGTCGACTCGAGGCTCTCGAGGATCTTCCGGCACTCCTCGGTCTCGGGCGCGTCGCCCCAGCTCGCCATCGGAGAGCCGTGCGCCTCCCGCGGACCTGGGGGCTGGGCGGCGTTGGAGTCCGGAACCCGGCGTCCGTTGCCATGGCGACCCCTAGGGGCGGGCGGAGCGCGGGAATCCGCGCGGTGCGAGCGGGACGCCTGCGCGCTGGGCGTCGGCCGGGCGGCTTCCACCCCTGGTCTGACTCCGGGCTCCCAGACTGGGCGCCCTCTGCTCTGGACGCCCGCGGCCACGCCGCCGCAGAAGTGTCCCCAGAAAAGCTGGATCCCTCTAGCTGCCCCAGCAGCATCCCGCCACGCCCCCAGCCCTCCTTGCCTCCTATTCTCCGGAGCCTTTGAGCTCCGCGCACTTGGGGGGCGTGGATTCCTGAGCGTCTTCCTTTTCACACGAACACCCCTCCCCACGCGACAATTAGACCCCAAATCGACGACCCTCGCCTTCGTGGCCTTCCGCCCTGCCAAAAGGCGCCCTGGCGGTGGACGAGAAATAGCCATGCTCAGGACCTAATGCCGGGCCCTGGGGCGCCCGGAGCAATGCCATAATAGGAAGGAAGAGGGCTGCCTGATGAATTGCCTACACCTGCCTCTCGACCAGAGACGTAGACGTTCATGGACAAAAAATTCTTTGCAGACATGAAACAGCCTACATTCCTATTTAGTATGAAGGTCGGAATCCCGCCGTAGTGTGGAATTTATTGTTACAAAGTTTCGAAAATAATAAGAGAAGCTGCCTAATAGTGAAGCTGTTGTTCATCCTTTATTTTAAATTATGTATTGACAATGGTGATATATCTTTTTTAATATTATAGTATGTCATTTACTAGTTTTAGAGCTAAGTATACTTGGATTTCCATTTCAATACATGGTCTACAGGGAAACAAACTATTTTCTCTCATAATTATGTGAAAACAAAGTTTGATATTAGCTCAAAATACAAAAAGGAAATTATGTAACATTAACACTGCTCTTATACTTAAAGACAGAGACCGAAGGCCCCAAATCTCAAGACAAACAAAAAATAATCTGAACCAATGCCAACATGATCTTCTGTTTTGTTTTCCTTTGAGAAGATGAAGACAGAAAAGTGACTTTTATTCTATGAAGATTTTTCTTTTCAAAATCTAACTTCTAAGTCTCTTGGGGGAAATTATATCAGATAATCAAAAAGTATTTTACAAGAGAGAAATGTATAAATCTATACTAAATTATCTTTTCTTAAGTAATTTTTTTTTTTTTACCACAGTGCACATAAAAATTCTAAAACAAAGAGAAAACTTCCAAGGGGACATTAAAAATGTAATCTGGTTAGGACTGGGCCAGGGTAGGGAAAAGACCGTGGCAAGCTGTTGGCTGCTTCCACTGATCCAATTCAAACTGAATGTTTTGAAACTGAAGAGGGGCATCTCACGGTAGACTTCATGAGTCATTGGTCAGCTCTGTGGAGCATTTGTTGGCTAATATGGACTGCGTAGTGACACCATCCCACAAAAACATGGGCTGAACAAAACCTCTTTGTTGGAAGCCTTGCTACAGCATATCAAAGAGTTTCAGATTTCAGTGTCTAGGAGACCAAGTTATGAGCATGATCGGCTTTGAAACTAGTACCTGCATAACACTTCTCTTGTTGTCAGTTACCTACAGTTGCTTCTCAGGTGTTCTGCCTTATAAAATCGTTCATTTCAGATCATGTTCTCACCTATAAACAACTGGGGTTGGTGAGATCAGAGCATTTGTCATACTAAATCCAGGCTCTTATATCACATGATGAATTGATGGATGGTTTTTAGTGGAAAGCTCCTGAGCTCTGGAGTAAACATTAAAAAAAAAAAAAAATCCTATGAAATAGTTGCTTTAGGACATTGGAAAATTTATATAACATCTCTGAGCCTCTTTTTTCTCACCAGTAAAAACTGGATAGTCAACCTTTCTCAGGATGGTTAGGAGTAATCTATACAGGAAAAAAGCACACACACACAGCTCAAGTAGCACGTGGTGAAACAAATATGAACCAGACCTGCAAAGAGTGTGTTCCACCTTTCTAAACCACAGCTAAGGAATACACTGTTTAAAGTTTTCCATTTTTAACAAGTTGAAGTCTCATCAGCTAAAATAATTTTTACTTTTTAAGCTAATAGGGTTTGCGGCACAATTTTAAATTTTCAAATGCTTCTTTGAAACGGGTATAAATATAACGTGTGTTTATATGAAAAGATCACCTACCAATTATTAAAAGTGATAACATCTCAGATTAAATAGCATGAGGATTTGATTACGAGTCAAGTGGTGACTCTAAACATAGTAATTTGTATATTCCAGTTGGATATTATCGGTCCTGTAGTCTAATAAAAGCCAAGAGTTTTCAGGTTAGGTTTGTAATTTAAATTCTTTCTAGAGTCATCATATGTAAAGTGCTTATTTTTCTTTTATCACCGGCTGTAATCTGTGATTATGTGGTGCAGGCTCTGTTAGGTAAACTTGTTTTTTGTTGTGCCTCATCCCTAACCAAAGTTCTTAAATAAAGGGTTGGGAAAGGAAATGGCCAGTCTTTAGCCACGACAATATTACGCTACTAAATCCTTTGTGGAAAAACTCCCGAGACTAGATCGTTTTTATGTCTTAAATGTTACTGCAGTGGCATAGCATATCCACTCTTGTAACAATCCATTGGTGTTTGTCACGTGGCTAAAGCTGAAAACCAAGATGGGAAGCATGATGGGAATTTGGGCAGGAGCAGTCCTGAGATGGAATTTGGATCTTACTGCCAAACGTCCTTGAGCGCTGTGGTAGAAGATAACCTCTGTTTGGAACTAGTCTGGACGCTTAAAAGAGAGACTCGTAAAAATGTGGAAAAAAAAAATGGTAGAGCTTAGTCATCTGCAGAAGTTGGTCCCACCTGCTGCTGAGGGAAATTTGGGGAGTCTCCTGGGCCTGACTAACTGATCATAGCGGGTCTGCATGCCTGCAACACAACCTAGCAAATCTGCAACACATACATTGCAATATGCAGGGAGGTGGGTCTGGAAAGGTAGACGTCTGAAAGGTAGACATCTGAGTAATAAAAGGGTGATTGCTGTAACTCCTGCAATCCGAGATTTCAACCAAAGATGGTAAAGATGTGAATCCTAGAATTAGTGAAATAAATAATAAGAATTGATAAGACAAAGACCTTTTCCGGGGACTCCATTTCATCAGACCACAAAAGGATGGGATTTACTGTCATGAGGAGTGGAACACTCAACGGACGACCACAAATCACCTATGTAGGACCATCTAGTTCTCTGTTCTATTTCCAGTACCGCACGGTCATTCAGACTCTTGGAGATCTAGATTCCAAAGATTTAATGTAGATAGCAGACGTTTGGGTTCGGTTAGCGTGAGTATTCCCCTGTGGCCTGACCGAAGTGAACTGATAAGATACAGTGTTTAGACCTTCTATAGGAGGACCAGATTTAAGAGACCAAACATTCCCCAGAACGAAACACCAGGTCAGGCTTTGCCTGGAAAGTTAGCTCGGCTCTCGAATTTATATTCCAGCCGTTGCACAACGAACACCTGCATTGTCCTTCTGTTTCAAACTCTACCTCATAAAAGTGGAATAAAACATTCTAATTTAGCACTTTCGAGAGCTCATGGGGAATACTGGACGTGGAATACAGTAGTGTGAAACTCAGATTCGTTATTGTTGTGCCTGTTTATGCACCTAGAAATGCTTCAGGGTACACTGAGAGGGACATATGTTATGTGGGTTCTGCTCTACCAAGGTGCTGATCAGAAGCGCACAGCCAGGGGATGGCACATCCACTCTTGCTCAAATCAGAAAGTTCAAACTTACTGAACGGACTACTCCAAGCTCTGCTGTTAACTGTTCTAGACCAACAAAGCCACACTGTGCTAGTTAATATATTGAATGTCAGCAGTGGGGTTTTATTGGTGAAGGTAGTGGCCTATTGGTGAGCACAGTAGATGTTGGAAGTGGGCTCACATTGGTGAATTTAAAGATCTTCATGATATATAGGTCAGCCAAAGTCATTCAGAAACGCTCCCACCTTGCAGGAAAAGTATGCAAGAGTCTCAGAGAGGCTAGAACTGAAACCTTGAGGGATGGGGCTTAGAGTTTGATCCCCTGACAGTCCTCTGGCCAGCCTTTGATTTGCAATTGCCCGATGCCTACTAACAGGGCCCAGGATCTTGCTTCTGGAATGTTATCAGAGGTGCTTCAAAGGAATCATTCGTGCCTGCTCTTAGTACATCCACCAGGACAGAAAGAAAGTGGGGCTTTGGAGACCTCCACAAACACGCTGCATAAACCTCCTGGGGCCTGCTTGCCATGAGTGTTTTAAAAAATAAATGTGGTGGGGAGGGGCACCTGGGTGCATCAGTAGGTTAAGTGTCCAGCTTTGGCTCAGGTCATGATCTCACGGTTAGTGAGTTCAAGCCCCACATCAACTCTGCTGTCAGTGCAGAGCCTGCTTAGGATCCTCTGTCTCCCTCTTTCTCTCTGCCCCTCCCCCTCACATGCTCTCTCTCCCTCTCTGAAAAATAAATAGACATTAAAAAATTTTTTTAAATGTGGGAGAGTTGATTTTTTTTTAATTTTTTCAACTTTTTTTTTGAGAGACAGAGCATGATCAGGGAGGGCCAGAGAGAGAGGGAGACACAGAATCCAAAGAAGGTTCCAGGCTCTGAGCTGTGAGCAAAGAGCCTGATGTGGGACTTGAACTCATGAACCATGAGATCATGACCCGAGCCGAAGTCAGATGCTCAACTGAGCCACCGAGACATCCTGAGACTTGCTTTCAATCTAAGCAAGCTGAGAGCAAGGGGGTGGGGAAATAGCTAATCCTCACCTTCATCAAGTTTCTTTAAAGGATACAGCATCGATGCAAAGAAACCTGAGAACCGTGTGTGACCAAATTATGTCGGTGTTCTGGGAAGCCAGAAGAAATAATGAAATCTTTTTGTGACTGATTTTGATGTGTAAAATCTGTATCTGCTTAACTCATCCTTGTATATCCCTATCCCAAGCAGTGCCACTCACGCAGTATGTGCTCGATAAGTATTTGTCCAATGAATCAATAATGGAGAA